ATTAGTACCAGTTCTTTAAGAACCAGCATCTGACCAAAAAGCTGGTCAGAACCACATGGATTCTGAGTTGAAATGTTTTCAAAACTAATTTTCCTCCAATTTGCTCTCAGAGCGCCACAGCTGGACTTGCACTCTGCAGCACCGGAGACCTTTTAAGCTTAGGATCACACTGGACTTATTACAAATGATTTTCTGAATCACTGCAGATTCATCTGAGGTATATTATTTCTGTAATTTCAGAAGAATTAGTCAGTGCTTTTGTGATTGTCTTAGTATAGGGATGAGACGATCTCCTGTGCTTGATGTCCAGCAGGTTGCCACATGTTCCTTCTTCCTTCCAATCAGCCAATCACAAGCTTCAATCCAAATAAACTAGTGCTGGGCAACGATTAAAATATTTAATCGCGATTAATCACATGGATTTTTTGCGATTAATCGTGATTAATTGCATTGTTATGGCAAAGTTCAATAATGAATTCAAAAGTAGTGTATTGTGCACTTTTATTTTAAAAGTACTGCTATATGAACAAAAGTGCAATAACATTTGGTTCACGAGATGCAGGTAGCATGTTTTTTAATGTGAATATAATTCATACTTTGTTGGCATCTTATTCTGAAAACCGGATGTTTGTCTGGAGAAACCGGATGTTGTCTCACGTTAATCTTTCCGCTAACTTTCAAAGTCCTTCGCTCGCTCCCGATCTGTGCCGTTTAAATGTGTTTACCGTGAATTTCAGCATATAGGTGCACTAAAATGTAAGTGTCTGCTGAGTTGACCACGGAGATCATTTTTTTTCCCCCATCTTAGAAAAGGCTCAAGGACACACACACACACACACACACACAACTGACTATAGGATGTTTGCTGCCTTTTATCCCACTGTTCTTGTCATCCTCTTGTTGTTATGTCTATGTATTGTCTCTTGTCTTTCAATTTAAAAAAATAAAAATTATAATAAATTAAAAAAAATGTGTTAACACGCAATAAAATAATTGTCGGCGTTAATTAACACTTGCCCAGCACTAAAATAAACCCAACCCAGATCCCACTCAGCCCCTCCCCCAGCTGTATCAGTCTGTCACCCTACCTCTCTCTCCTCCTTTCTCCCTTCCTCTGCTGCTTGCTGGCTCACGCATTTCTTCCCTTCATTGCCTAATGCGGCTGGGCTAAAGGGAGAAATAATAGGATAGAAGGATTGGAAAAAGGGTGTGATTTTAGCTGATATTCCACAGAGGCGAGGGATGGAAAAGCAACCGCGTTCTTTGTGGATAAACCCACATGTAAGTCATCGCTCTACCATATGTTTTGTCTTTATCTTCACATCCTTCCTTCCCGTCTCACTGTCTGTCATTGTCCCTCTTTTATTCTGTGTGCATTGTATCTCTGTCTGCCGCTATTGCTGTGCCATCTCTACCTTTTGCTCTCTGCATGCATCCCTGCCCCCATACCATAACACTGGCTGCTGATGCTGTCTTGTGATGCTTGAGTGGAAGTCACTGGCGGGCTGAATGAGACTCAGGGTAAATCACATTATTTAGTCTAAGAGGTTGTTTTTTTTCTCTTCATATTTGCCACAAAAGAGTTAGCCACGAGGAATGGATTCATGTTGCTTTGACTACGTCACTCAAATATGTTTTAAGTTGGCGTTCACACACGTGATTTAATCATGTTTCATGGACAGTAAGTCATATTCGACGCAGTAAGGCTCGAGTCCGGAATGCTCACTTGAACAATACTGAATTACTGTGGTTGGTTCTCTTAGTGCTGGGCGGTATACCGGTTCAACCTTAGTGCCCAGCACTAAGGTTTTAGTTTGTCGTATGATATCAATTTTTCACACTCCGTCATACCGGTGCATAGCCGAAACAACTGCTGTCGCTCTTCAACAGGCAGCAAAATATATTGTTCGGTCACCGGGCGCTTTGTTCACGGTCTGCTCAGTTATTCGAGAGTTACCGCTCATACTAGCCTCCAAACAGTAGTCTGAGCTGCTAACTATGGAGAGTGCAAATACTTTCACCAGCTAGCCAAACCGAGTGGCAATACGCCAAGGTAGCAATACCCCATGAAAGTAGAAACACTTTCCTCAAACTACCGTTAGCTTCACTGGGCTAACACACCACAGAGTATTAATACTCCCGCTGCATAACCCGCCGGGAAGTCACAACGCTCCCGCTATTCCCTAGCCACACCAGACTAGCATAAGCACATAGTGTAACTTTAGCTCTTCAGCTAATTATCCTTGCTAGTGACCATGGCTGCCGCTTTTGTCCCTATTAAAGCAGATGAAAAAATACAAGCGCGAGAATAAAATATCGAGCTTGGATACTCACCAGATGTGTATGATGTGTCTTGGTTTAAAACATGCCCATGCCAACTTTGAGTCAATGGAGGAGTGCACACACAGTGGCTGATTCTCCCTCAAAGTGTTATGTCGCCGTCTGGCTCGTCAGACGAATATGACCGACTGCGACCCAGTTATGGCTTCCACCGCAGCAGCTCAAGAGCCGATAGAGCTAGCTGAGCTGATGACCCCCGAAGTTGAAGCTGGACCGAGCTGGGGAGATCAACTGGACATTGCGGACCCTCTGCCCCGAGAATATGCCAGTTTGCCGGTCCCTGCCTCGCAGCACACCGCTCTTCTCTACTGTCCGGCCAGGTTGCAAAACCCAAAGCCTCTGCGACTCCGGCGGGTGATGGGAACGCATCTTTCCCCATATTAGACTTGGAATTGCAGGACGTGTGCAAACGCGCCGCCGCTAAGCTCAAGATCCGAAAGTCCAGGCTGAGGTGACGCGGTCCCGTTATGATGGATGGGAGAACAACTCTTGCTGATCTTCCCAGAATTACTGGAGGAATTTGCTGTCACTTAATGCAATAAGCCGTACAGAGAGAAGCATCCTGTGACAGGTAGTTCCATGCTCGACTGTGAGGGAATGGAGAGCCACGGCTTTCGCAACATGCCCTCGGTGGAGCCCGTAGTGGCGGCTCACCTCCACCCGAAAACATCCCTGTCGTCCCCGGGACCTGCTCACCCATCCAGAGCGGACCAGTTCCAGTCTAACCTGACAGATAAGGCATACAAGGCCGCTGCACTGTCGGTCCGGGCCCTTAATGCCACATCTCTCCTAATGACATACCAAGCCCAGCTGGAGGAGGAGATGACGGCTTCGCCTGACCCGGCGTTATGGGAAGAGGTGTGCATCATCACGACCATTGCCTCCACCTCAACAAGGTAGCGATCCACTCACAAGGTAGAGCCATGGGGTTGATGGTTTTGCAGGAGAGAGCCCGCTGGCTGAATCTCACCACCTTATCAGCCAAAGAGAAGGAGGACCTCCTCGACACCTCCAAACCACACCCCACGGTCTCTTCGGCACAGCGGTCACGTCAATGCAGAAGAAGTGCGAGGAAAGAAAGGAGGGTGAAGCCCTTAAGCTCTGTCTGCTGAGGAGGCCGCCTCCCGTCGCCCCTCCAGTCCATCGCCAGTCCTTTGCCCAGGCGGCAGCGTGACCACCTCCCACTTTCAGAACCCCTAGGCTGCTGAAACCTCAAGCAGTCAGGCTCCGCCGAGAGCACCAGCTCCGAAGGGCCTGTGGCAGAGGAAGTCTTTCCCTCAAGAAGGGACCCGGCCTGACAAACCACCCCCCGCCTCCTTTCACAGGGTAAGGAGGAAGACACGGCTAGCCTGATAGCCACGGTTGTGATGAGCCTTCTGGCTTCACTCACTCCAACGGCCCTGTTCACGAGCAGTTTCACAGAGCTCGGTTCTGTCTCACGCTTGCGTAACACCAAACAAGCAGTGCTACGTCCCTATACCACTAGAAGGAGCTCTAACTCCTTGTATGACAGACTGGCCTGTCAGCCCTCTGTCATTGAAAACAGTGAGCTGGTCAGAATGCACCAGCTCAGAGTGGGTTATGAGAACATTAAACGGGGGATACAGGCTTAAATTTGCCATAACACAGTTCAGGGGGGTAATTCAGTCACAAGCCCCAGGACAAAGGGAAGGCTTTCTCCACCATCAAAGTGTACTTGGCAGCTATTTCTGCTTGTCATATTGGTTTTGAGGGGAGGGCTGTAGGCCAGCATCCCTTGGTCTGCCGCTTCATGAGGGGTGCACGCCGTAAACTCCCGGTCTCTAAACCACTGGTCCCATCCTGGGGCCTTGCCACCGTGTTGGATACTCTTTCGGCTCCACCTTTTGAACCACTCGAACAAGTAGACTTCAAAATGGTGGCTTTAAAGACAGCTTTGTTGTTGTCTCTTGCTTCAGGTAAACAAGTAGGTAAGATTCATGCTCTTTCAGTACACTAAGCGTGTACGAAGTTCTCTTTGGGGAATGTAAGGGTGACTTTACATCCTAACCCTGCCTTTATACCTAAGGTGTTAGGGTCATACTCTCCAATTGATCTGGTGTCCTTCTATCCCCCGCTATTCTCAGATGAGCATCAGCGGTTACATATGCTGTGTCCGGTGCGTGCTTCACACATCTACATTGACAGAACCAAAGGCTGTAGGAAAAGTGACCAGCTCTTTGTGTCTTGGGCAAAGAACCACTTGGGGAAGCCAGTCTCAAAGCAGCTCTCTCACTGGATTTTGGGGGCTATTGCTTTAGCCTATAGCTCTAAGGGGTTGCAGCCACCAGGGGTCTCTCTACCTCATGGGCCCTTTTCAGAGGGATCTCCATTCAGGAGATTTGCGCTGCTGCAAGTCAGGCCTTGCCATACACCTTCGCTAGGTTCTACAGGCTTGATGTTACAGCTTCCCCATTAGCCCATTCGGTGCTTTGTGTGGCTAAACCTCGGTAAGGCTAATTTAAGGACAGTTGGTTCCCCAGTAACATCTGCCCAGCAATCCGGGAGTCAGTATTTTCTCAATGTGAGACACGAAACAAATGCTATGAAAGAGAACTTTAGGTTACTTGCGTAACCCCGGTTCTCTGAGTAGCATGAGTGAGTGTCTCACCAGACCACCCTCCTTGCTCATTCGTAGCGAGGAAGAGGTGAGCATTTGTGAATGACTGGCAGCGTAGCGTCAAGCCCTTTTTATCGGGGGAGGGCCTCCACCCTCCTTGACACTGACGTGCTTTTTTCCAGCCAATCCTGGCTGGCAGAATGCAATGGGAGCTTCTTATGAGGTCACGCCATAGGCGTTCCCAATGTGAGACACTCACTCAATCTACTCAGAGAACTGGGATTACGCAAGTAACCTAAAGATTTTTGTGGCTGATAGATGGCATTCTTTAAGCAGCTGAACTCACAACTCATGACATAGCACAGTCAAGGCATTTTTTATTTGCACAGTTGAGATGTTCTTTGCTCCTATTTGATAAAGGGCTCGATATTGCCCATGTTGATACACTTATTGTCCCCTCTTTTTTTTTTTATTCTCTCTTTGAGTAGTACCCATTGCCTTGATTTCTGATTTGGCTCCTCGCCTTTGTCAGTTTCATACCATCAGTACAAAGGCTCCATCCACAAAGGCTAATGTTTCTATATTGACCAACTATTTATGTTGTATTTGCACCGGGGAAATGGATTGTTATCAATATGAAATACAAGCCCTGAAAACAAGAAGGTACTTGCCATGGCTCTCATAACAGCATTTTAAATAGCGAAGGACAATATTACAAGTGACGGATCACACCACGAAAAACATGGTGGGATTTAACATTCATGCCACAGTGGGAACCCTGTTGTTTTATTTATTTTTTTAATCTCTGTTTGCTCATTCTGATGTCAATGACCCCTCCATTCCTATTCTCAGAAGTCCAAAGGAGTGAAAAACAGCTCGGCCTGTGGCTAAATCTAACCTCGGGAGTTTGTAAAATTCCAAGCACTCAATCTGCTCTGGAATTTGCGGTCCCTGTGATTCACCACATTGGCTCGAATATATAGAGTAACTATAATTTTTTCTGGAAATGACACTCAAAGATTATTGTTTTTTTTTTTATATTCAAGAACTTGACTTTGAATGCTTATTTGGAAACTCTCATAATGTGTTCACGGCAGCAGATGGCAGCAAGTGTTTGTAAAATGAGGATTCTTTCACCAGTTTTAGTTTAACGTAGTTGAATGAACCATAGAGGGTACGTGATATATTGTGATCTGCCATTGGTGCACACTGTTGACAGCTGAAGAGAAGAGAAGCAGCAAGGTATTTTTTCACAGTCGACATTTTGACATGTCACACGGTAAGAAATGCTCAGGTGTAAATCATAAAATGAATTATGCCTGATTTCCATTTGTCTGTTTCAATTATAGGGTCTAGAGTGGCCCACTGTCATGGCTTACTGGGAGCTTACTGAGTAGCACTGATTAATCTTATTCGTAACACCTGCTTTATAGTATGACAAGTCAGAATGTCCATTTAAATTCTGGGGGTCGGTCTTTGTAGTTTTGGGTCAGGTGTGCAATGTTGTCAACTAAAATTCTAATCATACCAAAGATTGTCGTAGGACTACTCAGTGATTTAATCTTCATTGTTTTACTAATGTCCCAGTTGGTAGTTTAGACGGGTCTGCCCCTTCAGGATAATGGAGGGGTTGAACAAATTCTTAAATCTTAAAATTAAATGGACTAATGCAAATCGGTTGTAAACATATCCAGGTACTGCGAGGGATTGAAGTTCGATTCCCTCTGTCATCATTTCTTGTGGACAATAGTCCTGACCCCTTACGACCAAACAGCCAATAAGCATAGAGAAAAGCTTTTGCACACTTTACTTTGGTGAACTCACTCAAGGCCAGTTTCCTTCTGCCATGTGACCAGAGTGTACCAGGTATGAGTGTGTGACCACCACTTTGCCATGCAAAGCACTGTCCTACAGCATGTTTATCACCTCTGGGAAAAAAAATGGTCAACATGTGTTCTTTGTGTAAAATTCAAAAAAATGTTTCCACGCTACAGCATCCGAATATTCAGAAGATCCAGGTGAGTATGACCTGTGGGTGAGTTAGGGTACTGAACATAATATGCTAAAATCATGCATTACAAACCCATTACTGGATCTCACCTTCTCTATTGTCCTTGTTTTCTAGGAGTTGTACCTTCTGAGAATGCAAAGGGGCAAAGAAAGAATGGAGAGGACCAAGACAGAAGACGAGAATCAGGTATTGCTTTGTGTCTTTGGCTCCATGTGAAAACATTTAGGACATTATCAGTCATTTGTATTTGAATAATTAAACAACTATTGGAGAGAGGGGTGTTTCTACATGGTGTGCATGCTAAATTCCAATCAACTAATGGTCTCTGTGTGTGTTTGTGTGTGGTTACACCTCCGTTTGGTGTAGTGTCAGAGGAAATTGAGGGTGTGTGTGGCAACATGCAACAGAGCCGACTATTCCAAACTGGCCCCCATCATGTTTGGGATCAAAAACCACCCTGACGAGTTTGATCTGGAAGTCGTGGTGCTTGGCTCACATCTCATTGATGACTATGGGTATGACGCCATCCTTTGTTAGCCAACACAACGGTCCATAATCGCCACGGGTGTTTCATTCAGGTTCTTCCTTTCATTGTCTTTTCCTACTTCCCGCTCCGCAGGAACACTTTCCGTATGATCGAGCAGGACGACTTTGACATCGGCTCCAAGCTCCACACCATAGTGAGAGGAGAGGACGAGGCAGCTATGGTGGAGAGCGTTGGGCTGGCACTTGTGAAACTGCCGGATGTCCTACAGAGGCTGCGCCCTGACATCCTGGTCGTTCATGGCGACCGTTTTGACGCGCTGGCCCTAGCAACTGCTGCAGCGCTGATGAACATTAGAATACTTCACCTGGAGGGGGGAGAGGTGAGGAGGCAGGGGGAGAGAACATACGAGAAAATTCGACTTGTGATTACATTTCAGTTAATGCCGCACTACACACAGTGTGTATCGTATGCGGTGATACCTTTTCTTACCTTTTTAAAGCGGTAATGTAAGAAAGTAATTGTTACCACATAACATAATCTTTTCTCTCCCTTTTTTTCCCAGGTGAGTGGTACAATCGATGACTCAATCCGCCACGCGATCAGCAAACTGGCCCATTACCACGCCTGCTGCACACGCGTGGCAGAGCAGCACCTCATCGCCATGTGCGAGGACCACTCTCGCATCCTGCTTGCTGGCTGCCCCTCATATGACAAGCTGCTGTCAACAAATCACAGAGACGACTACATGGATACCATCAAGAGCTGGCTGGGTAGGGGGGGAGACAGTCATGGGGCAAAAATAAAGTGGGAGACATTAGAGTTTGTATGTCATGTGCGGGGCTTAATTCATGTTGCAGGTGACACGGTGCAGGAGGGTGACTACATTGTGGCTTTGCAGCACCCAGTAACCACTGACATCCAGCAATCCGTTAAGATCTACGGGCTGATGCTGGATGCCCTGCTCTCCTTCAACAAAAAGACCCTCATCCTCTTCCCTAACATTGACGCCGGTTAGTTTCACTTACTGGTCCCTTTAGTTCCTTCTGTTTTTTCCCGGCTCCTCTATCTCAGTTGACCAAACACCTTCCTATGTAAACAGGAAGTAAGGAGATGGTGCGCGTGATGCGAAAGAAGGGCATCGAGCAGCACCCCAACTTCCGGGCAGTAAAGCACATTCCCTTTGAGCAGTTCATCCAGCTGTTGGAACACGCCGGCTGCATGATCGGAAACAGCAGCTGTGGCGTACGAGAGGCAGGGGCCTTTGGCACGCCCGTCATTAACCTGGGAACAAGGCAAACTGGCCGAGAAACGGGTATGTATGACGGAAAACAGGATTATAGTTACTTGCTGCCTCTGCCGTAATTATGGTCCTGATTTGCTGTCTGACAGACGAAGCTCAAAATATGGATTAAATCAGTAATGAGGCACCACATTTGCTGAAGTAAGGGACAGCTCTGCAAAAGTTCTTTGTCTTTGCTGACAGAGCTTTTTTTCAGCTTTACAAAATGTGTTCATATAGACAGTTTGTCATCTGACACAAGTTATTGTTGTTCTGAATATTAGAGGATTGTGGCAGCTGGAAGACAAACATGCTGCTATGGTATTATTAGCGATTTCCAAAGCAAGCGTTATTCTGTTAAATGAATCTGCCTCGGGGCTCGACAGCTGTGTTGATGACGTTTCTCTCTCCGCCAGGTGAAAATGTTCTACATGTCAGAGATGCCGACACTCACAATAAGATCTACCACGCTCTGGAGCTGCAGTTTGGAAAGAGATACCCCTGGTATGACCAATGTACTGCCTGTGTGTCTCACTGGGTGCCAGTAACGTAGTTTTATTTACTGCGCTTCCAATGATATCTTGACAGCCTTCTAATTCACAAAGTCCAGTGTCACAGTCAAAATCCGTCTCCTTATAGAGAAACCAGCTACATGACTTTGAAATGATCTACCTGTTTATAGATTCTCTCTATTTGTCTTAACAGAGTGTTTAAAATGACCTTTTCACACAATCTCTGGCTAACACACAGGTAGTATTGGGGTCTGAAATAAGAGTAAACTTTGGGCCATGCAAAGTATTCATTCTGTCCGGTGAAAAAATGTCTACCTCAACATTAATCGCCGAGGTGTGATCATTAGTGCAACACAGTTTTAGGCCCTAGAGATCTGTGAGACGATGGCGCCCTGCCTCTAGAAAATTGTGGAAATGTTTAATTTAAGTACAGGATTAATGCTTTTTATTCCTTAGAAGCCATGTAACAATGTTTACATTCTGCACTTCTGTGTCCCATCAGCTCTAAGATTTATGGCGATGGAAACGCAGTTCCTCGTATTCTCAAGTTTTTACGGGCCATTGACCTGGATGAGCCCCTCCAGAAGACTTTCTGTTTCCCCCCTGTAAAAGATTCCATCTCCCAGGACATCGATCACATCCTGGAGACACAGAGCGCTCTGGCTATTGACCTAGGAGGGACCAACCTCAGGGTGGCGATCATCAGCATGAGGGTATGCTCCATGGACTCTGTAATTGTTTGTTTGAATGTTTCTCCATTTTTTGATACTTTGATTCGTTGACATTATGAACGTGTTTACTTTCAAATGGTTATCAATAAAGCCATGATTCAAATTACAACTTTCGAATGTCTAAGATGTGACTAAGCATGATTTATAGGCACTAAGAATTTTGTCGTCTTTGTGATTCAGTTTGTGCCTCAGTTTTACTATCTGCAATAAAAGCTGCTTCATGCTCTTCTGCGATTCTTCCCTTTTCTTTCCCTGCCACCACTCTGTCCTTCCCCCCCTTTACTACCTCCCTCTCTGTCCAGGGTAAGATAGTAAAGAAGTATACTCAGCCCAATCCAAAGAACTTCGAGGACAGGATGCAGCTCATATTAAAGATGTGTGCAGATGCCATGCGGGACGCTGTCTGCCTCAACTGTAGAATCCTTGGTGTTGGTATGAAGGGAAAAAAAAAAAACTCACTCACATTAATGAATGAAAATAGTCTGTGAAGCTGACAAACCTGTTATCTATTATCTAACTATCATGTCATTGCTCCTCTAAAATCTCTCATCTACATCTTAGGAGTTTCCACAGGGGGGCGTGTAAACCCCCAAGAAGGAGTGGTCCTGCACTCCACGAAGCTGATTCAGGAGTGGTCCTCTGTGGACCTGAGGACACCCATCTCCGACGCACTGCACCTGCCCGTCTGGGTGGACAATGACGGCAACTGTGCTGCGTTGGCTGAGAGGAAGTTTGGTCACGGAAAAGGGGTGGAGAACTTTGTCGCTGTCATCACAGGAACAGGTGAGTCAGGATCAGGGCATGTGAGCGGTGAGAATTTCCGCCTAATATCACTCACTGCTGGCTCAAAAAAAGCAATTAAAAAAAAAGCTGCTATGTATTTTAATTACAGCTGTACTGAATACCTTTGTTTTGTTTTACATTCGAAGCCTCTGTTGAGGTTTTTGAATGACGCCTTGAACGTCTGTTGTAATAATTTATGACATCACCCTAAAAAAATTAAACACCCTTCAACAAAATCCTCAATATGAATAAATTGATTCATCATATTAAACGAGTTAGTGTTTTTTATATTAAATCAACCCTCTTTAATGAATATAACTCATCAGTGCTGCCGCCATTTGTGTGCAGTAAGTGCTAGAGCAAACAGTTTTTTGACCTTGGTAAGAAATTAAGTAATTTTGTAGTAGAATAGGTTGAAAAAGTATATGTGCAACTGATTGCAACGTTGCCAGGCAAAAGACTATTGCTGTGATCTCTCACCATAAGATAACAGCTAAACTGCATTAAGATTAGTCAAGTTTCCGCCATTTGCGATGTCAATCGAATCTGCTTTGTTTATTCTGCACAGCCGCATTCACCACTATTGCGTTGGAAATTGCAGCTTATGGCCAACTAAGGTGTTTGGGGAATGTTAGTCCAACATACAGTAGATCTGGTCTTTCTGGGGACATATCGAAGCCTATCAAGGCACAGTTTAGTGCCAAATAGGAATTAGTAATGAATTTGCTACTGTCGTAGTATATTTCATTTCGTACGAAACCTGTTGCGAGTGTATTAAACCGTGAGCCCTGTCTCACGAAGCACATTGTGATCATCACTACAGCTGTATTTGAAAGAAATGATGAGTTTATTGGAATGATTTACTTAAATTACTCAAATCAGTTTCTTAATTGCACCTACGATCTGAGGAAGTAAATATCTTGACTCTTTGTGTAGGTATTGGAGGAGGGATTATCCATCACAACGAGCTGATTCATGGCAGTACCTTCTGCGCTGCAGAGCTGGGCCACATCATGGTTTCATTAGAAGGCCCAGAGTGTTCGTGTGGCAGCAGAGGATGCATCGAGGCTTACGCATCCGGCATGGCCCTGCAGAAAGAGGCCAAAAGGCTGCACGACGGTGAGTGTTTGTTTTGGTGTGTATGAAGCTAAGGATTGTGCCGAGACTCGATTATACCCAGATGATCCAGAAAGTAGCTCAGAAAGGTGTGTCTTCTAAACATCATGTGTTTAAGTTGGTTGAATTTATTGGATGGAGGAATTTTTAAGTCTTTTTTTACTAGAAATAAACTTATTTCTTACAGTTTTTCTAACTACCGTTGAAGTTGTCTCAGAATTGATGCCTTTGTTAAAATCTAGCGTGATAAAGAAAAAACCTGGCGTAGTGTTTTTGACAAGTTAATTAAATGTAGCTCCTTACATCTGACCTATGTGTTGGTGTGTCTCTCAGAGGACCTGCTGATGGTGGAGGGGATGGATATGAAGCTCACGGAGCCGATCACTGCTGCCCACCTCATCAACGCAGCCAGACTGGGGAACTACAAAGCTGACGCTGTTCTGAAGAAAGGTCAGAGCACCAAACTAAAAAACAGAAAATAGTCTCTTGTCATGACAGGGATTCAAACGCTTTGCATTGTTGAACAAAATTAGTGTAATTTTCCTCTTGCCCCTCACCGTCCTTCATAGTTCACACGTCATTGCTCACAAACTCTTCGATTAAAAATAAGAGCAAAGTCTCATTTCTATCTGTCTTCAACTTCCTCTCTCCAGCCTCCACAGCGCTAGGTGTGGGCATCATCAACATCCTCCACATAGTGAACCCCACGCTGGTGATTCTGTCCGGAATCTTGGCCTCTTACTACCAGGCTCCAGTGCAGCACGTCATCTCTGAGAGAGCCCTCGTCTCTGCCCAGAACATCAAGGTTGTCAAATCAGAGTTGGAGGAACCTGCTTTACTCGGAGCGGCAAGCATGGTTTTAGACTATGCAACCAGAAGGAAATATTGAAGGATATCATTCTGATTTACGAAGGACTGCTACCAACAAAAGGACAGCACAACTGAAAGTAGTACTTGTTCTGCCGTGATAGATACATAAGCATACATTTTGAAGGCTAGACAATGACGATGCGTGCAAACCATCAGTCATTGTAAACCGCAGGGTGGGGGGGTTTCTGCATTTAAGCTTTTCAGCTTTTGAGTAAACATTAATGCCATCTTCAAACCAAATTTACCCATACAGGTTAGGACTAACCCACTCTACTTTGATGTGATGTGGGTGGATGGAAAAGTCATAGAGAAAGTTATAGAAAGCTTGTATCAGATGTGACCAAAATACTGCTTAAACATTCTTCTGCAGCTTCCTGTCAATTCACCTTAATTACTTGCCATCTCACTTTTCCATTAATGTTGTTTGGAGTTTTCATTCTCTATTTGGTTATGCATTAAATTATTTTAGGTGTATAGGGGAAAGAAATTGTTTTTAAAGATAATGGTTAATGTAGTTGGTGATGAGGAAGAAATAGTTGAAAAATCAGTTGAAATGCTATAATGAAACGTTAGGTAGCAACTGATTTAGCTGCTGTAGTATAAGGATAGCCTAGAGGGGGAATCGTTTGCCTGTGTCAGGTGTTTCTTTGTACCATTTCATTACCACAGACCTTATGAAGATTTAAACTGATTTTGAAGTTTTCTTCGTGCCTTTCGGAAGATACATTTTATCTCAAAATGATTTATATGGCTTGTATGTAATTACATACTGTATTGTGCATTACAAGCTGATGGAATTTTTTTGGGATGTATTTCTTTGTCATCTTTTGGGGTTTATGTCCAAATAAATGTACCGTCTTAGTACAAATTCTGCTGACTTTTTGCAAAAGCCTGGTCCACAATATGGTTGCTCTCTTTGGGTGTTTATGCAGCTTCTTCGTTTGGATGTCTATGCAGAAAAACTGCAATTGTTACAATGCTCATGCAAAACACAAATATCTTTGCCTTCAGCATTTAAAAGATCTTCAGTTGTGAAAAGGCCCAAATAAGAGACATGCAATTAAAAAAAAAACATGTTAGTAAAAGAATGAGGAAATTAAACAAATCTGATATTGGGGGCGATGTGTTTCTGGGGGTCCAGTAGAGTTGACTGAGCTGCTGTTTCCCATTGTAAATTTTACTTCTTGACAGTGAATGCACCTTTTCTCAGTCTCGAATCATACGAGTCTCCTTCTCATGAGATATTTAAACTGAATGACAGTCACACAAGTACTGTAAATGGGACTTATACATCGAAACAGTGGTCGCCCATTAAAACACTGCTGATTATTGCATTCTATATCCAAAACCAGTAACACGTTGGAGCAACAACAGAGAAGCTGTATCTGAATCTTTCACTGTGGTCCCCTCTAAGTTTTAGAATCACTCCAGACCATCAAAAGTCAGTATTGCAAAACTCAGTCATCATCCAATTTATTAATATCTGTGCACTGTGAGTCATATTCTGCCATGTTCCTCACTTGTTTAATTATTTTGATGATGTTAAATTACAATCATGAAAAGTTGAATTACAACAACATTACATTGTAATTTTTAAAATAATTAGTAGTTATCTTGAGTGTAAATTTCAGGGAATAAGGAGCCAGGTCATCATCTAGTCCAACATCCTCACTCAAGTCCCAAGATTTAGAAAATGCAGTGACATTAGATGTTACAGAACTGTACTTCTGAACAATGCTCACCTGTATCAATAAGGAGACCCATCTTTGTTTTTTCATGGCCTCTGTAAAGTAGGCAACAACCTCATGCATATGTTTCGTCCTTGTTACATGCAGCAACACATGTTTTCAGCTCAGAGCAAAAGTTTTTTTATGTTGGTAAATTCTAGCTTTGAAAGTAACTGTAGTAACACAGTCAGGTGAGTGTTTGCTTGTCACCTGAGCTCTTTGAGGTTTTCAGAGCAGTTAATAATTAACTACCATGACATTGTGCTTGGGCTAAACACAATGGACACAACAGACGTTGCCTAGGTGCTCCACCAGCTTTAAATATGCATGTATGTATATATATGTATATATATATATATATATATATATATATCTCAGACTGGATTTTTTAGCACAGCACGTAGCAGGTCATGGGACGCGTATGCAGGAGCGTTCACAGATTTGATTGGTCCCATTTTGAGGTAGCTGTTTTGTGATTGGTGCTCTGTATTGTCAGTCACCCATCCTGGTTTCTGATTGGTTATTCTTCCGTTTCCGCTTTGCTACCTTTTTTTCTGTTATATTTGCAGTCTTTCCTTCCGTTGAGCCAGCTAGTCAGTTTCGGTCCACACCTGCACACAGCCTCTCATCTTTATCCTCCCACAAGTACTCACAACATGGATGATTTTGACATGCTGAACGCGCCCCCCGCTGGAAACGGTGTTGGCTCGGATGAAGATCCCGCTGCTGCGTTTTTGGCCCAGCAGGAGAGCGAAATCGCGGGGATTGAAAATGACGAAGGCTTCAGCATCCTGGACAGCGGAGAGGTCCCCTCGTCGCTGGGAGACTCTACCGGTGGGTCTCCGTTGTGGTCAAGATGAAGCCGTTTCCCTCTGTTCCACACTAATATTGTCCGTTTAGTTAGTTCATCTTAGGGCGTATGCAATGAACTATAACTCCCGTTAAACCTTAATTTGGTTCTAAATGGACACTGAAGGTTGATGCTAGCTATTGTTGGCTTAGCTAGCAAATTAGCCAAATGGTCTTGTAGCTAACGGTAACGTAAACCTGTGTCAACGCTACGTAAAATGAAGACGTAACGTGAAACAGGAAACTCTGGATGATAACGTTACTGTTTGTTACGTGATGGATCCAAGTTCAAATGAATGAAGCTGTCTGATAACGTCAGACCAAGCGTTACCGTACTCTGTTGTGTCATTCATTGCTTCCTGCTAAGCTTGACTACTTGCTGGCTGCGCGACATTTTGCTACAACCGTGTCTGCCAGTTACAGCCAAAGTAGGACATCAGTAGAGCTTTGGACGACCTTTGGCCCGTACTGCCTCATTTCCTCGATGGTGTAGCTTCGTTGTGGTTTAGCAAGTAGTGAGTCAGAACTGCTGACATATCATATTATGAAATATATGTGTATGCCAATCTTGCGGATTCAGCGATAGTAAAATAATCCCATTTAACCAAAGTGTTGCCATTATAGAGTTGTGTCTGTGTGCTTGATTACTAACAGCTATTTTCCTTGTATTTTTGCAGATGGTGCCGTCAACGGAGAGCTTCATGGGGTAATACTTTCTGACAATGTTTTGATTCTTAACTATTTCTACCCAATTCTTTTGTCTTGGTGTTTGTTCCTCTGTATTTTGTGTGGATTGGGAGACTTTGTGAGCATAATACGGCTGTCAAAGTACACACTCGTCCAAAACAAACATCTTTAATCTTCTCTAAATGTAGGTCTTTTGCTTGCTGCCTCTTAAGAGCTGTATTCTGCAGCTTTCTCATTAATATATTTACAAACATATTTGTAGTATTTAAGTGGTGGTGTGGAAAATACTTGTTTCCTTTTTAGTGCTAGTTGTGTGAATTCAGTGCTGACCGCAGAGGTTTAAACATCTGGCAGTTAGATTCACTCCAACTTCCTTTTCCTGTGCTGTCGTTGCAACATTGCTGCCTTTTGCACTGTCGGGACTTCTTTCTGGCAGTGAGAAGGGTAAAGCTGATGAAACTCAAAGTTGCCCAAATTTGGTCTCAATAAAGCCTCTCAACCAGTATACAGCTAACTTTTAAGAACAGTCATACTAAATGTATATTGGAGAGATGAATAATTCAGGATGAGAAGGTTTCTTCGCCATACCTCGGTGTATTGATAAAACAGATTTCTGTGAAGTAACACACTTGTCTCTGCATGTCTCCCTTGTTTCTCAGGAAAGCAACGGTCCATCTGACGCCTATGCAGCAATTTCCAGTGCAGACCGGCTGCAGGCCGAACCTGAAAGCCTACGCAAGTGGAGGGAGGAGCAAGGCGAGCGGCTGGAGTTGCTAGGTAAGCCCAGACCACCTTGTGTTTTTATAAAGGAGCAGCACAGACCAGTGAGAAGTAAAGGTTCTCAGGAGATCTATGCCAAACCTTTTTCAATAGTATGTGGGCCGGTGTGTAAAATGTGCCCCGTCATTCATATCATTAGTCCCTGCTGCTGTGTTTACCTTCCCATCTGCCTTTTCACTTCTTTTTCGCTAATCTCCACACTCATCTTCTTCCCTAGATCAAAACTCTCTGACGCAGGAGTCAGAGTGGAAGGAGAAAGCCAAGGTAGAGCTGGAAGAGTGGCACGCCAGGCAGAACGAGCAGCTGGAGAAAACCAAAACCAATAACAGGTACTGGTTTCATAGAGGGGTGGAAACGGGGAAATGAGGGAGGGCTGATATTACCATGAGTAGGAACACAGTCACATTTGTGTCCGGACAACAAAAAAAAAACCAAGATGATCACATGGAGGATCCGCAAAAAGTTTATGTACTTAAAAAGGGTGTTTAAAAAAAGTGACAGATGAACTTATAACTGAATACTAAGGTTTGACTCGGTGCGTAGGGTCTCCAGAAGGAACAGAAATGGGTCCACCTTAGCGTTGAGGTTCCAGAAAGACAACGTGGTGCTGTGCCAACACGTCAATGTTCCTACCCTTCGTTAGCCCACACCATGCAGTCAGCAGCTCCACTCTTGGATGATGATAATGTGAAGTCAAGCCTTTTTTCTTTAGGGGGCAACCTCAGATGCTACAGTAGATGAGCCAAGAACATGATGATATAGTAGCATCGTAGTTCATGCTGTGACGCACGCACGCACACACGCACACACACTCTTCTGTAGCCTTGCAACAAATACTTCTGTGTGTTAGGACTGCAACTAACAATAATTTTCATGATTAATCCATTTCTTCTTTTCCAAACTTATCAATTAATCACTTGATACAGTAAAATTAATAGAAAAGACAGATTCTAAATTACCATTTATTTTTGACCCCCCAAAAAAGCCAAATATTTCATTACTGTAAACCACAGGTAAGCAAATGAGTCCTCACATTAGAGAAGCTGTAACTAGCACATATTTTTGGTATCTTCCGTTGAATAATTAAAATCATTATTATTATTATTATTATTATTATTATTATTATTATTATTATTAACAGTTGGTTACATATTGTGGGGATTCAATTAATTGACTAATTGGTTCAGAAGGTGTTTTGAAGTTGCTCTCTCCCTGGTGGAATTAGTTTTGTGTGTGAAGAGCTGCTGGCGTGTTACGGAACACCGCAGACGTATAATTAAAGATTCGGGGAGGTTGGACACAATCGGCTGACGGCCTCTCTGAGCCTGTGAAACCACCTGACACATGGATTTAGGAGTCTGCACAAAACCCTGAGCCTTTGATGACATGCCTTAGCTCATTGTTGTGTGGTAACCTATAATGCTTGTTGTTTCCATCCTCTTCTCCCTTTTATCGCTGTCTCTCTTCTCTTCTTGCTGCTCTGTCGTTTTGGGCGGATGTTTGTCCAGGGTGCTGGATGAAGACTTCTACAAGCAGCCCTTCTCTGAGCTCATTGGTTATGTGTATGTTGCTCCAACTAACATCCTCCCTTCTCATGTTTTCTTTATTTACCCCCCCCCCCCCCCCCCCCCCCCCCCCCCCCCCCCCC